TTTGTCATTATTTGTGCTTTACCAAAGTATTTATTTTCCTGAAAGATTTCACTTTCACCTAACACTTTTGAACAGACCTATATGCAACATCATTGTTATAAGACTGTCTTGTTACTTCTATTTATATAACTAACAACATGCTGTTTTGTAATGCTGTTTGCAATGTTAATGCCGCAAATATGGGATTTATATGAAGTATTCATCTGCTTATACAAGAATTTTTTAAATAAGATTACTAAGTTAGAATGAGTTCATTAAGCACTTTAACTTTTTCAATTTAAAACAAGTATCTGTACTTTTACTTAAGTAAATGATTTTTGACACCTCAGTTAAAATTAATACGTTCAAATATAATTGTTACAGGCTTTTATTCATTCAAGAATGAATTAAGGTTCAACAAGGACTATTTCACTTTAAAATTTTGCATTTTAATTTTGGAAACCTGTAATGTTGCTAATTTCTCCTTCACCACATCGTATACAGTCATGACAGCAAACAGGCTTTCCTTTCTGAAGAACCTTGCGTGTTCCTTTAGGACACTTCTCACTGCAAACTGACACAGGTACCTGCAAAGGCACAAGGCGGCAAAATTAATATCTTAGCCTTCTTTACTAATTAATTCAAAAAAAAAAAAAAAAAAATCACATAGCAATACCTATTTGCTATCTACTGTAAGTGAAATTAAAACTGGTAAACAATTATATCATCTGTACCTGTGTTGAGCTTTGTGCCCAAATTAAGGACTTGTTTTGCAGTTTTAGCTGTTTGTCAAATGGTAATGATGCATCATAAATTCCAACTGTGACAAACTCCACAAAGCCGTTTTCTCTTCGTTGCCAGTTTATGACCTCATACTTTGCAGCTGGATCTCCATCTTCATTGAAGTAAACCTCTTCACCTTCTTTTGTTCTGAAATTAGTCTTTTTAATCTGCTGCAAGATCTAAAAAGATAAATGAACAATCTGTTTTAATCAAATCAGAAAATTAATTTCAGAATATGCTATGTGTACCCGTTTCTCTTTTTCCTGATGAATTATGAATGAACTCAAATAAAAATTCTGTTAAAAATATTTGTATATTTTTTTAATGCTCACCGTAAATGGATCAAGCCGCACATTCTTGTTGCAGGTTTTTTCACATCTAAGAATGTTATGCAAAGCATGGGCCACAGCATACACTCCTTTATAGACATTGTTAAAAATGGGCATCAGTGACATATCAGTGAAGCTGTTTTCCACTCCAGTGAGATTCTCATATCCAGTACATTCTCTATCATTTTCAGCTGGTTTGGACTGCTTGAACTTGCAGCTAAACAATGTCTCCCAGAATTCTGTATATAATTCATTGTTTAAAGATTTTAGGGGCATCACATCAAGAATGAACTCTCTGAGACCACTCACATATGTATCAGGAATGGAAACACCAATCGCCCCATCCAAGATGTGATTCTTATCCACTAATGCTATTTGAGAATCAAAAATCCAGGACTCACTGCCAACCCACTGGTATCCAGTCAAGTTATAGTTGGACAATTCATGTATAAGAACATCCATGTCTAAATGTGATACAAAGGCAATAATTACTTTGGAAGTTGAAGTCTGTATAGTTTTGATTACCTTTTGAATTTTTTCTGTAGGATCTGTTCTAAAGAAAGAAACAGAATATTCCAAACAAATGCCCAGCTGCTCTGCTATTTCAGTGAATATAGCCATGCCGTTATTGCCATAATCATCATTAGTTCTAACTGCTCCAACCCAAGTCCAACCAAAATGCTTGACTATTTGGGCTAAGGCCCTGCTCTGGAAGTAGTCACTGGGTATTGTTCTGAGAAATGATGGATACTTCGTTTTGTCACTGAGACAAGCACATGTGGCAAAGTGGCTGATCTAAAAGCAAACAAACAAACAAAAAAAAATAGCTAGATAAATTAAGTGATGAAAAATGTAAGAAGTAATGTTATAGGAATATATTATACAAAAGCACATTGCATTTGGTTTTAGCAGTTGTACTTACTAGCGGAATCTGAAATGGTCCGATGAGTGTACCTATTGCAGTGCTAGGAGACGAAGAAGTTTCTCCCACTATAGCCTGCACTTGTAGAGGTCTGGTACAAGGCATCTCAGGAGTTGAAGATCTATTTTCACTATTATTGTTTAAGGCCAGTGCAACTTTTATGCTTCTCGGAATGGATCCACAAGTGTCATAGATGTTATAGCCCAGAGACACTCCCGGCAGCAGGTCCGTACTGTTATTTATTTCTTCGATGGCGAAACGCATGGTCTGAGCAAACTGGAACTCTCTAAAATTCAAACTTGATTCAAAGTTACACAATGTTGACATAAAAAAACGAAAAAGAAAAATAAGTACAGTAAGCATTTCAGTGGTATAATTTACCTGATGCATTGAAGTGCCAAGGGCTTTTGTTTATACAATTCCTCTCTATTCTTCCAACTGCTGTGGAAATAGAAGATACCACCCAACACAATGTCCCCATCCTTGTATAGCTGTGGGATCTCAGGATCACCTATCTGCCTACATAATGGCTTTTCTGAGTTTGAGAAAGTCACCAAAATCAACAGTTGTAAAAGTGCACTCCCCAGCTGCGGCCATCTCTGCATGGATCTCATTTTTTCTGAAATGATCATCTTACACGGTGGTATTTCATAGTCAGCTTTTAAACAATCAACAGTGACACTGAGTCTCTGGGGGACAACCTCAATAACCTTCAATATTGTCTTAGTTAGGTTGCAGATGCTGTTTTTAACTTTAACTTTTTAACTTTTTTAACTGGAAATGCAAGTTATTAACTAATTTCTCAATTTTAAACCAGGGAATTAGTAAGATTTAAAAAATGTAAAAGGTAAATTAAAAACTACACCTAAAAGAGCACAACGTAAACAGAACACCTGCCCAAAAATTCACTATTATTACCATGGTATTTCAATTTATATTTTATATACATTTAGCTATATATGTCTTAACTATTATGTTAACTAATATGTTAAGTTTTCAAGATTTATTTTTTATTAATAAGGGTATTGAAAATTATATATGTTATTTAAATGTAAATATTTACAGATACTTGTTTTATGTTTTTACGACCAATAATCATTTTAAAAGCGGTATTGCTTTTCAATAGAGATATCTGTCTCAATGTCCTATCTGATAATAAAAATATTTCTAAATATTAGCCTGCTGGATCCAATATGAATTCTGATTGTATCACTAGTAGCTCGTTTCCCAATGCCACTTATTTACAGTATAGTTAAATAACATGCTGCTGTCAGTTTTTGCACATCTCTGGTAATGCTATTTTCACATATTTATTACTGTATAAAATGTCCACAGCTTGATTGTTGATGTTGTTCTTGATTTTTTATTCTCCAGATACAGAGTATTTATAATGTAAAACTCGGTACAGTGCAATACTTTATTTGTTTTATTTTCTTATCTGTTATTTTTATACACTTTTCTAAGGTCCACATTGTGTGACCACTTCTGCTATAACCTTTGCTGTAACACCAAAAGTTCCCCATTGTGGGATACTTAAGGGATTTTCTATGGGGCAAATTTGGCAAATTCAGCTTTTCAAGGCTTTACTGTACTAGGGCTCAAACCCAAAACTCATCATGATTTCGTCATCAAATATCCATGTTTTGGTCATCACTTCTCGTCATTAAAATAAGGAGCATCAAAGAAATAATTTTGTCATCTTCAATAAAAGCAACACCGATCTGTAGTGACAGAAAGTGGAAATAAACTGTTGAAGAGGTGTGTGGTAAAAACTGCAAGTGTAAAGATGTAAAAAATTTAAATTTTCACCTTAAATTTTTGACATTGTAGGGTAATGTAGGTATTAATTCTAACTAGTTTTTGACATATTTTGCTGAATAATTAGATGATCTGACAGAGTTCTTTCATTTTTCTTTGTAGAAATAAAAAAATATACATTCTCCTAAAACTGACTTTTTATGTACACCTAATATAGTACAGTGTAAGAATTTATATAAATGTATATTTTTTTTTCTTAACTTTTTGGGGATCCTTTCATCATCAAATCCACTAAAGCTTTTACTTGATATAAATATAAGCTTATATGATCATGCTGCCTAAATTCAAATAACATTCTGACGAAAAAATTTGTTCTCTTGCTGCTGTAGATATCTGAGATTTACATTATTGTCATTAAAAACAATAAATAAGTGAATAATTCTTTAGTGGTTATTTCAAATGAATCATATTCTTAAAAAAACAACCCCTTTGACTTTAAATCCCAGGGTTTTCAGTGGAAGAGAGGCTATAGTGACAGAATGACTATGTATCTATCATAACCTCTGTGTGCAATGACAGCTACATGTAAATAATCATATTCACAAATAACAACAAAAAATAATGCTATAGATGGAATGTGTGGAAGTTCGGACATTTAGCTAATTATGAACTATTATTTCTCCGGCAGCTTTTTACTCAGCACTGTGGAAATTTGTGATATAAAAATAATAAATTGGTTAGCTTAGCTTTTGACTTTTTAATTTCACGTAGTATACAGCTTTTAATCAAAGACTAAAAATATTCGTTAAATGAAGAAATCATTCACAGTTTTAAATATTTATCATTCAAATTGTAATATAATTTCATATTATCAGTGCTTATTGAGCGAAAAAAATACCCCAATACCCTTATTAATACCCTTAATAATTATCTTAATTCAGACATGTGTTTCTTTTGGTCCATGACCCAATGCGACGAAGGCAGAAATGGAATCCTACCCACTTGCATTTTTGCCTTTAGAAATTCTTACAAGCAAAGAAGTTGAACACTCCTTTAATGCTACACACCAGAGATAATTTCTAATATGAAAAAATTCATAAAAAACATCAGTCTTATACATATGATTTCAAGCAATTTATTAATAATAACACGACATGATAATGCAAAGGTAGCCACATGAAAAATGAACACATTTGCATACAGAGAGTTTTAATCTTTTTGCAATCAAATAATTTACTCTTTAGAGGGACTTAGGTGGCACTTTCCCCATTATGTGCTTTTTTGTATTTTGCTGTGGTTTCAGTAACATAATATAACATTTTGGAATAAAAATGCAAATTAACAGCCCAAAAGTGGAAGCAAGGATAGCAAAGATTTCTACAGCTACGTTTAAATTTCCAGGTGAACTGACATACGCCGGAATAAAAGTTATCCATACGGCACAGAATATCAGCATGCTGAAGGTGATAAATTTGGCTTCGTTAAAATTATCAGGCAGCTTCCGAGCTAAAAAAGCAAAAATAAAACACAACAAAGCAAGAAGTCCAATGTACCCTAGCACTGACCAAAAACCTACAGCTGAGCCCAGAGCACATTCTAAAATAATTTTGTCTTTAAATTCTCCAAGGTTTTTGTGTGGAAAAGGGGGAGAATTCGCTAACCAAAGGATGCAAATGATAACTTGTACAAGAGTGAAACCCAGAACACTTAATCTCTGCTGTGCAGGCCCAAACCATTTTATCATATTTTGACCAGGAAGTGTAGCTTTAAATGCCATTAAAACTACCATTGTTTTCCCCAGAACACAAGAGAGACAGAGCACAAAGATGATGCCGAACGCTGTGTGACGCAGCATGCAGGACCACTTAGAAGGCTGCCCAATAAATGTTAAAGAGCAAAGGAAGCACAGGGTCAAGGACAAAAGAAGGAGAAAGCTCAGCTCAGAGTTGTTTGCTCTGACGAGAGGAGTTTTTCTGTATCTGAAAAAAATGAATATCACAATAGCTGTTATACATGTTCCAAATAAAGCTGCGGTAGTGAGGAGTATTCCCATAATTTCATCATATGATAAAAAAACTGCTTCCTTCTTTAAACAGGCATCTCTTCTCTTGTTTGGCCAAAGTTCAGGGGGGCATTTCACACAGGTGACAGCATCTGGAAATGTTTTAAAATTTAAGATGGCATTAGTGCTGTGGTTTTTATTGATGCAAAGGCCAATGCTTATTAATGAAATTATGAAAACAAAACAAAAGATATTTAGGAAAACCTCACTTTTTTAAAAACATTTCTTAATGTCTTACTTTTTCTCAACATAAATGTATAACATATTTTAATTTTGGTTTTAGTTTACAATTTTTAACCAGTTTTCTTCTTACATAGCTGTTCTTTTTTTTGTCAGCTCATGTATACTACAATAAATATCATGGATATTGCTGTTTGTTGCACTTGTAAATGTAATTACTTAAATGCGGTCCTTGAGTGTCTAAGTGGCCAATTTGACTAGAAGCGAGCCAAATTCTGTAAATTTACCATTATCAAGAGGGACTTTAATCTGACATATATACTCCATTGGAGCCCGACTCAATTTATTGAATATTACTGCAACCACCTCTGTGGTATGTGTAAATAGTTTTAGTTTGAATGGGGATTTGACTCAGCAAGTATACTAAAAATAAAAAACATATCACAAAGCAGAAATATTTGTATAATACCACACACTATAAATCATGATTTTTAAGATAAAACCTTGTTAAAATTAATTTAGAATTGTAGACCTTCACAAGTCACACTATTATTATCAACATATCAACAATATTCATACTGAGAGGATGAAATGTGTAGTGAAAGTATATATATATATATATATATATATATATATATATATATATATATATATATATATATATATATATATAATTTATTTTATTTTTTTTTAAGGTCAAGGTATGTGGGCAAATGTAATGCATTTATATTTTTGGAGGAAAGTAGTAGGTCTCACTTATTTTGTTACACTTTGACTGAATCCACAAAAATTGATTGGAAATTATTTTGTTAATAAATAAGATCTTGAAATTTTCAAAATAGGATTATCTATACCTGTAATGTTGCTAATTTCTCCATCAGCACATCTTATACAATCATGGCAGCAAACAGGCTTTCCTTTCTGCAGAACTTTGCGTGTTCCTGGAGGACACTTCTCACTGCAAACTGACACAGGCACCTGCAAAAGCAGCCTTAACAAAGTTATACAGGTTTCTCACAGGTATTTAAGATTACTTTAATATGTCAAAGTAAAATACAATCTAATCACAATGTATACTTTAAACACTGAAAAATAATCCAGTTAATTGCTGTAAAACTTTTTACCTTCGAAGAGCCCTGCGCCCAAAGTAAGCCCTTATTTTGAAGACTTAGCTGTTTGTTAAATTGTAAAGATGCATCATAAATGCCAACTGTGACAAAGTCCAAAGTTCCATTTTCTCTTGGCTGCCAATGCATGATTTCATACTTTGCAATAGGATCTCCATCCTCATTAAAGTAAACCTCTTCTCCTTCCTTTGTTTTGAAGTGAATATTTCGAATGACCTGCAAAATCTAAGAAATGTTAACGGTAAACATAAAATATGTATAATGGCTTGAGTATACTGCATTGCATTATTTCTACCTGCTTGAGTTTACGATGCTGTATTTCAATGTAAAAACTGATACATTGCTGTTACGCTCACCATGAATGGGTCTAGCTGCACTTGTTTGTTGCATGTTTTGTCACACCCAAGAATATTATGCAAAGCATGGGCCACTGCATACACTCCTTTATATACATTGTTAAAAATGGGCATCAGTGACATGTCAGTGAAGCTGTTTTCCATTCCAGTCAGATCCTCATGTCCAGTACATTGTTTATATTTTTCATCTGATTTCTCTCTCTTGAACTTGCAGTTAAACAATGTCTCCCAGAACTCAATATAAAAGTCATTATTTAAAGATTTGAGTGGCCTCACATCAAACATGAACTCCCTGAGACCACTCACATGTGCTTTAGGGATAGAAACGCCAATCGCTCCATCCAGGATGTGATTCTTATCCACTGTTGCAAACTGAGAATCAGAGATCCAACCTTCACTTCCCACCCACTGGTACCCAGTCAAATTGTGGTTAGACAACTCATGTATAAGTACTTCCATATCCAAATGAGCAACAAAGGCAATTATCACTTTTGAAGTTGAAGCCTTTATGGTATTGATTACTTTTTGCATTTTTTCTGTTGAATCTGTTCTAAAGAAAGAAACAGAATATTCCAGACAAATGCCCAGCTGTTCTGCAGTTTCCTTGAATATAGCCATGCCATTGTTGCCGTAATCATCATTGGTTCTAACAGCTCCAACCCAAGTCCAACCGAAATGTTTGACTAAGTGAGCCAGAGCTCTACTCTGATAATAGTCACTGGGTACCGTTCTAAGAAATGATGGATACTTGGTTTTATCACTGAGGCAAGCACATGTGGCAAAGTGGCTGATCTAAAAGAAATTATGCAAAATAAAGTACTACATAATATTTTTTTTATCTAATACTGAATTTTCTTTTTACCAGTTTTACTCACCAGTGGTATATGAAATGGTCCAATGACAGTAGCTATGGCAGTGCTAGGAGAGGAAGAAGTTTCTCCCACTATGGCTTGCACTTGTACAGGTTTCGTACATGGTTTGTCAGAATTTGAAGATAGACTTTCATTACCATTGTTCAAGGCAAGTGCAACTTTTATGCTTCTGGGAATGGAACCACAAGTATCATATATGCTGTATCCAAGAGAAATACCTGGCAGTAAGTCTGTTTTGTTATTTATCTCCTCAATTGCAAAAAGCATGGTCTGAGCAAATTGGATTTCTCTGAAATTCAAACTTGATTGTAAAAGCATTAATGTAGTTGTAATATTTGCCTCTGATATAGAGACAGTAAAATTATACATTGTAAACATTTAAAAATGTATTAGATAAAATTTACCTTATGCATTGCAGTGCCAAGGGTTTTTGTTTATAAGAGTATTGCTCATTCTTCCAGCTACTATGAAAATAGAAGATTCCTCCCAGGTTTATGTCACCATCTTTGTATAGTTGAGGGGTCTCCTGATCTCCTTGCTGCCTGCAGAATGGCTCCTCAGTCTGCGAGAAAGAGACCAGTATCAACAATTGTAACAATGCATACCCCAACTCAGGAAACCTCTGCATGAATGCTGTCTCTGCAGAATCCAGATTACTAGGAGGCATTTCATAAGCCTTCATTTAATTTGATATTTCAAAGGCCATTTATGACTTACTGATCAGTTCATAAATGAGGGAAAGTGATACTTTCTCCCTGTGGGTCTACACGGTGAAAAAAGGGGAGGAGGAATGTTAAATTGTTTAGTTAATGTAAAACCAATTAAATATTTGTAATAGGGTAAAACTATTTTTATTATTAACTATTTTCTTTAAAATCAAATTCTAATCAGGCTACATTTAAAAAAAAAGCATTTTCTATTAACACATTTATGTATCCAATAACATTTTCAGAGCTATATGTCATTGCTATAGTATAAATTAATCGCTTTTAGTTGTAGGGTCACAGATGCAAGTGACTTAGTTTTAAGCTTCATATTAGCCTTTGTCCTGTCTTTAATTACTTGGTGTTTTAATATTTTTTTTCTTTTTACTTCTCAGTTCTTGCATTTTATCCACTTGTTTCTCATTCAAATCCTCAATTATCCTTATGTCTTCATTAACTTGCAAACAAACACCTTTGACAACAATTGGTAATTGCTTTAATTTTAAGCAAATTCTACAAAGAACTCAAGTATAGCAGTCTGTGATACAGTATGTGTTCTGAAAGCTGGCTGAATACAGGGATGAGTTAGACCTCCACATGTGGGGGGGCAAGATGGTGGGATCGGCCGTTGCTTAGGATGGTGCAGCTCTAGGATTGGTTCTGGTCCCCTACTGCCACCACTGGGTGGGACGCTTCTACTTGGCGGGGGGGCTTAGGCCTCTCTTGGTTCTCAGAGTTGGTCCTCCATTGGAAGCCTGGACGGGACAGGGGGGGTTTGCCTTTAAGGCAACCTTCTCGGTCTATTGGCTGAGAATGGCCGATCTAGTCCGTTTTGTATGAGGAATACAGTATGTGTAAAGATGTGTGTGTGTGTCTGTGAGGCTGCTGAGGGTCAGTTTGGTCGGCGCTCTTAGGTTGGGTCAGGCATAGGTGTGGGGTCATGGTGGCTGCAGGGCCAGGCTTGGGCCTCCTGGCCCTGTCAGATCCCAAGTGAAGGTTGGTGTGCCCTTGGACCCTGCTCAGTGTGCTCTTTTATGGATTGACCTTGGGCATGACCAGCTGCCAGTGCATCCCATGGGCTCCCTGTTTCTATGGCCCCTGGGATGGGGCCCCTCAGGGACTGGGCCCCTTTTTCTGGGGTTTTGCCTTTTGGGAGTTGGGATCCCCCTCCACCTAAAATCACGGCACCTTCCACAGCTGTGAGTGAGACTTCACTTGTAGTGACGAAGGGTTAGTGCTTAGTGGCGATTTGGGATTGGGCCATGGTGAATCATCAAATCAGGGCTTCACTTATAATGGCTTTTTATACTTGTTGCGTACATGCTCAATTCTAAGTGGACCTAATTAGATTTGATTCATTTATAGAAGCTGTTGTGAAACAAAAAACTCAGTGTTCCCGGCATTAGGATAGATGAATTTAGAGTTGAGAATTTGAATCTGAGTTTGTTAAACCTGCTTATTGAAACGGATCCCTGCTGTATTCCGTGATACACCTGCTCCCAGTTACTTAATTATTGCATTCATTGTTCAGCAATCTCCTCGCCAAAATTTAAGACCCTCTGATTCTTCCACTCATTGCTGATTCCTAATGTTTGTTCTCTATACCTTATCCTGTGTTCCTCTCAATGGTTTACGTGTCGTTTACATTTATGTTTTGTTTTTGTCTGGCTCTTTCATATTCTGTAGTTCTTGCACTGTAAGAGCTTTGAATTCTTTATAAAAAAAAAACACAAACACAATTTTCTGCTCTGTAACTGCATTTGTGTCCTCAACTAATCATTACACAACTTGGATACAATATTGATTCTGTTGCTCAACAGTTTGAAAATTTCAAAGAGACACCAACATCCACCATTCATTAATTTTAAATTTATTGAGCACTTCTTGAAAAGGTGCATTCAGACTGGATGTAGTGTCCATGGCCAGGGTGGTGAATTTACATACTATCCCTATGTGACTTGCAAAGGGAAGCGCCGGGAAGCAGCCAGTGGTGAATCCCACATGGTGGTGGCTTTCACTCTTAGGCTCACACCTTGTACTACTTGATAGAACTGAGGCACCGCATCGAGAGGGGGAAGCGGTGATCACTGAACATGAAAAATCAGAACTTTTCTATGTAAGGCAAGGCAAATTTATTTGTATAGCACAATTCAGTACAAAGACAATGCAAAGTGCTTTACATGATTAAAATATATGAAAATAAAACAAAATCAAAGCAAGTAGAAAAATAAAATAAAATAAAAAATGCAATGTAATTGCATCATGGCAACCCTTCAGGGACTGGTTGCAGTTATGACATACATTAGGCTAAAGAACTGCAGCTGAGGTAAAGCTTTTTTCATTTGAAAGAAAGAGGAAATAATTTTAACAAAGTTAGAAATAAGGAATGTTCTGAAGAGGTTTCTTGGTGGTTTTAAAAAATATGTTTTAAATTAGCATTAGAAGATTATTGGTTGTCCTCCCTTACCCTCAGCACAGACCACAGTCTGTCACTGCCTACTCCGTAGCAGTGGTACTCTGCACTGGTAGATTTACAAGGAAGTATCTCCGAATCCAACTAACATTCAAATGCAGAACCAAAGTGATTTACTTTTTCAGCGCTTGTGCTGATTTTCAAAAAAATGATGGTACCTCCAAGGCCATTTAAAAGTTGTGCATAGAGAACAATTAGGCAGCAGTACTTGAAGTTAAGTTTCACCTGTACTTTTATTGTGAAATGCCGACAGCAAGGACAGGAAATGGGTTGCCAAAGGTAACGACGGATCCAAACTGAATTATCTGGGAGACTGATGAATTATTAAATATTAAACCTTCATTCCACCCACTAAATAAGGTAAACATGCCCACTGTTATGATGTGTCCATACAGGAGGTGGTGTGAATAGCCCCAGCGGTAGATTCACATAAAATTCCTATACAAACTGTGTGGTAAGGGGAGGTGAAGCTGAACTCCATGCAGTGAGAGTGTTTACTGCTCCACTGTCCCCTCTTGCTACTAGATACAGCTGAGGTGTTGTCAAACAGCAGCACCACATGGAGAGAGCAGAGCTGGGATCACTGAAGTTGAAATGAGCTGAACTTGTCTATGAAATCACGACATGGAAGCCAATGAGGGACGGCTGTAGGTGAAGCTTGAACAATGTTAAAAAGCCTAATAATATTGAATATCTCTGAAACAATAGTAGCACACATGACCTTTTTTTTTTTTTTTTTTTTTTATTTTCCAAATGAGCATTTTAAATGCACAAACCTGCACTAAAGAACCAACAACCAGTGAGTCTATTTGCTGAATGTTTTCCCCATCAGTGGAGAGTCAACTTTACGCAGCTGAAGCTCCTCCTCTCTGATGATGCATCCAGGGTGTAAACACTGTGCATCTGAAATGTAGCGTGGTGAACCAACTGCGGGATTTGTGGAAGTCATCACCTTCACTTTAAGCTGTCTGAATGCACCATTATATTCAGTACCAGGCCATTAATGTAATATGTTATGCAATAGCTTTATATTCTTATACGACCAGAGCACTAACATTTATTGGCTGAGATAAAAAATTATTCTGTCTTGGAATAAAATAAGCAAATCAGCATCAACAGGTTTTACTTGCAAAAATCAAGCAGCGCAATAATAACCCCAGACACCACGTCTGGTCTGAATGCACCTTAACAGTCACATGCATTATTTTCTACTCTTTTACTGTGGGACCTCTATACTGCTGCACATGCCAATCACTTTGGGGTTAATTCAAAATAATCTTTATGCCACATGCAAAATAAAAATAAAAGTCGAATATCAGCACAAAGTTGGATATAATCATCACCACCTGCTATGTGAATGTAGCCTTTGACTAAGAAAAAAAAAAAAAAAATACTATAATAACACACAATGACAGCAATGACATATTTCCTTAAGTGTGACTTTTCATTAATGTGTAAAAAATAGCTATGCAAATAAAATAGATTATGCATAAATATACTCATCTCAGAAAGCTTTGTGATCCTTTACTTTCCAAGTTGGAGTACCAAATTTATGGGTCTTGTTGATGATCAATTTTTATGTACAAGAACACACAAATAGTTTTAGTAAAAGAATAAGGGGTTCAGAACTTGACTTAAACTTTAATATTTTAAGCTTTAAGAGAAACAATTGTGTGATTTTTAATTAATTTATTTTTTTAAGAAATATATTAAAGAGCCTTCCGTGCCCTTTTACTCATCAAATGTGTTTTTGTGTTGTATTGGGGTTTAAATAAAATTATGTAACACTTTGGCAAAAAAATACAAAACAGCAGTCCATAACTCGAAGCCAAAATTGCAAATATTTCCACAGCAACACTTAATTTTCCAGGAGAGCTTACATAAGCTGGGATAAAAGTGATCCACACAGCACAGAATATTAGCATGCTAAAAGTGATAAATCGAGCTTCATTAAAATTGTCAGGGAGCTTTCTTGCTAAAAAGGCCAATCCAAAGCATAACATGGCCAAAATCCCTATATACCCCAATACAGCCCAGAAGCCTAAAGATGACCCAAGTGCACATTCTAGTATGATCTTCTCCCTGTAATATTTTGTGTTTTTGAATGGATAGGGGGGGTTGATTACTAGCCATATTACACAAATCAAAACCTGTAGAAGAGTAAGAGCTAAAACGCTTAGTCTCTGCTGTAAAGGCCCAAAACATTTTACCACATTATTACCTGGAACTGTAGCCTGAAAGGCCAACAACACCACAGTTGTTTTTCCGAGAATACAGGACACACATAGGACAAACGTAATGCCGAAGGCTGTGTGCCGTAGCATGCAGGACCAATCAGACGGCCGATCGATAAAAGTCAGAGAGCACAGGAAACACAAAGTTAAGGAGAACAGCAGCAGGAAACTTAGCTCAGAGTTATTGGCTCTAACAATTGCCGTATGTCTTTGGTAGAAAAATATCAGGCTTACAGTCACAGTTGAAAATGCACCAAGGACAGAAACAGTGACCAACATTATACCCATTATTTCTGTAAATGTGAGGAACTCAATCGGTTTTAAGTAACACTGGTTCTTCTCTTCATTGGAATTGTACTCAGGAGGGCATTTTTCACATTTTACAGCATCTGAAAGAATAAGTACATTTAGGCTGCACAGAGAACACTTTTTCAAATAAACCAACAGTGAGCTGGTAGTAATTTTGCCCAGCAGAAACACAATGAGCACCAAGGTAAAGGCTACATATCCTGCTGCCTCACTTGTACTGTTGCTGAACTCCCCCTCAGCACATGGGATACAGTCAAAGCAGCAGACTGGTTTGCCTTTAATGACTGCCCGACGAGTACCTGGTAAACAGCTGTCACTGCAAATGGAACGTGGTACCTAAATCACAGAGACACAATTCAGAGCACATTTGTTCACACTTATTATGTTTAGCATGAAAACAAATTACACAATATTTTTCCCTTTTTTAAACAGTCCAATTAATGTCAAGTTAAAGCAAAGAAACTTTATATTGACAAGAGAATCTAAATGGACTCACCTCAGGACTTTCTCCTGCCCAGATAGCTCTCACTCCGGTTTTCATCTCAAATTGCTGACCTTCAGGCCAGGAGGCATCGTAAAAACCAATAGTTTTAAACTGTATGTACCCTGTGTTATCCAACTGCCAGTTTACTAATGCGTAACGTGCTACAGGGTCACCCGACTCATCAAAGAAAACATCTTCACCATTCTTAGTTGTGAAATTTACCTGTGTTAGATAGTGTAACACCTAAAGGGAAACAGTGTGGGAGTATTTTAAGATTAGCAGTTGTGATTTAGTCCCATTGTTTGTTTTTTTTAACAACATTTACCTGCCATGGCTGAATATTTTTCCTGTCAGCACATGTGTTGTTCTGAAAAGGCCCATGTCTGTCTTTGCAATCGAATAGCATGCTCAAGGCATGAGCAATAGCATATACGGCTTTGTAGACATTATTCATCAGGCTTGCATCTGTAACATCAGTAAATCGTATCTTAACATCCCGCAAACTCTCTGTTCCACTGCAGACTTTAACACCATCATCTGGGTAATTAACTCTTTCCGGTGACAAGGTGCAGTGAAATATATCTTCCCACAACTCAACAAGTCCCTGATTTCCTGGTGTGGTGGATGGTCTGCTGTTGAGGAGAAACTCTTGAAGTCCAGGAATATGAGCATTCAGTGCTGCAAAGCCCACTGCCCCCTGAACCACAGCATAGTTTTCCTGAGAGGCAAAATAACGATAAGTAATCCATCCTTCACTTCCTACCCACTGAAGACCTGTCACATTCTGAGCATAAAGCTCTTTCATAAGTATATCAAGATCTGTAGCATCAGCAAAGGCAACTATAACCTTAGAAGTGGATTTTCTAATAATTTCCACCACTTCTAGAAAAGACTTTCTGGGATCAGTTCTGTAAATAGCTACTGAATACTCCACACATACACCTTCCTTTGTTGCTGCTTCCAGGAAGGTGGACATGCCACCATTTCCATAATCATTGTTAGTTCGAACTGCTCCTACCCAAGTCCACCCGAAATGTTTAACAAGCTTTGCAAGTGCTTTGCTTTGATGAATGTCACTTGGTATGGTTCGAAAGAAAGATGGATAGATTTTCCTGTCACTAAGACATGCACAGGTGGCTGAATGACTGATCTGAAAAGAAAAAAAAATGGCCTGAAAAATATCACACTTCAACTATTTATGTTGAACTAATTATCTTTTCGTATATTCTTTTTAAAGTTTTTACTCAAAATGAATAAAACACCCAATCACTCACCAGAGGAATGTTGAAGGGTCCCAGTGTACGTGCTATCCCTATTGTAGATGTAGAAGTGGTGTCACCAATGACAGCGCACACACTGGAGAAACTCATGCATGTCTTTTTTTTGTTTTCGTATAGATTCATTAGATTCAGTGATGACCTGATAGACAGGGGTACACTGGGGCAAGAGTCAAATATCCTATAACCAAGTTTCACATCGGGCAGCAGCTCAGTGCTATTGTTAATTTCATCTATCACAAACATCATAGTGTGTGCATACTGCAGCTCACCCATTTCCAGCCTGAAAAGAAGGAAAACATTAAAACACACAATAATAAAAGCCTAATGTTAAGAAAAAAATAGCAGAACAAAAGGCACATTTTTAAACACTCTTACCCTTTACACTGGATTGATCCTGGGTTGGTTGTGAGTTCTGGACTGACAGTGACTGGGTTCTGGTGGAAGGAGAAAATTCCCCCAATGATGATATCCCCTTCCTTAAAAAACTGAGACATCTCTTTTGCGCCATATGGGTGACACACAGGGCTTTCCCCTCTCACAGCCATTAGAAAGAAAAATAACAGATTCACAATAAGCCTCATAATTCCTCACCTGAGTCCTTGGCACGCAAAGCTAATCACACAATGAAGGTCTGACCTTTTTATGGTAGTTTTGCATCATTAACCAACAGGGAATTTATATGATTTTTCTGAATATCTTATTGGTGTCCACCAATGGCGTTGCTTGTTTTGCAACTACAGGGGAAACACACCCTAGTACCCTATTAGCTCTCCTGCAATTTTTTTTTAAAGATACTGTTAAAAATACAATTCTATAATTCTGTTTTGCAAATGTAGTGTTTGTATAAAAATCATCATATTTCAAAGAACTGAAGAGAAGCATATCATGCATGTTTCTCAAATTGATTTAAATGTATTTGTCATCTTTCCAGGACAGAGTAAGGTCAATTATTCAGGAATATGCAACTTTGTGAAGGCTAACAGGTTATTGTGAGGACAACTCCACTAGTCCCTGTGAGAAAAAGTTATCTTCTTGGGTTGGTGTTAGGTATAGCACTAAGGTGTGAATTAAGTTTAGGTTTATTTAGTTTTAGTTAGTTTAGGGCACACAAATGAATGCAAAATAAATAGTAGTCAAGTGAAAATCCCTGTAAGGATAACAAAGCATAACATCTGTGTCTATGTTTATGTGTGTGTGTGTTCAAACATTATTTTACAATATTATGCCCATTTTTTTAGGTTTAGGACTAAGATGTGAATTAAGGTTACATTTAGGTGGGGATTAGGGTTAGGCGTGTACTGGTAATGGTATGATGCAGGGTTAAGGGCTGGTTATACTTCCCGCAGCAGTGTGTCGCAGTGAGCTTGTCGTAGATATTTTTGATTTATGCCCAATATTGAAGGGTGGTCTACCCTATGTTATTCCACACCACAACGCAAGAGGGACAATCATAAACTAGCTGTGGGTCTAGATAAGTGGGGGCAAGTTTTTGCGACAACGGAGAGACATGACAAAAAGTATATATAGTGTGGTCCACTTTTTAAACCCAGACTGTTTAAAATAGTGCTGTTGCAAACGGCAATAATTTGTAATAAAAAATAAGGCAATCACAATATGTTAAATCATAAAAGTCCTTGTTTTGGATCAGTTGTGGCTACTTTTAAATGGAAAATCTAGAATTATCTTGTACTATTTTCATAAGAACATAAGTTAATACAGCATGGAAAATTTTAACTGGGGTTAGACCAACATGTGAAACATTAACATTATAAAAAAAGAATGCTATGATCTGGAAGCTGGTTCACTCTGAGATATTTTGCTTTGTCTTACGGTAAACCTCTGAATAACATTTCATTTTTATACTTGCATATGAGTGAATGTACATATATGAACAACAAAACACACAAATAGTTTTAGGTGACATATTGTGGCATGGGAATATTACATCAGAAAAAAAATGCCTTTGAGTGGTGTTAGCTAGCTCTGGGTACACTGGATAAGGGTAGCCACCAGTTCTATAAAGTATTGTAGCGGCTGGACGAAGAGGTGCATTATGGGGCACTGTTTTGGGTTGTTTGCTTGTTTATTTCTTTGTTATTCTGTTTGAATGTTGCTCATGTTGTTTATTGTTCATATTTGCCTCAGTTCATGCTGTTTTGGGGGTGTGTGTTGAGGGCATGTGAGTTTCACACTGAGTGATAAGGCTGTTGGGTTTACTGAAGTGTTGTGCTGCATCCCTAGCGGAGTTGTTGAAGAATAATTAAACACTGAAAAAGAAACTGATTAGCCAGTCACTTCATTTGGATGGGATTAAACTGATTTCAGATAATAAAGTAAAAAATCTTGGTGTTATTTTTGATCAGGACCTGTCATTTAAATCCCATATCAAAGAGGTTTCTAGAATTTCCTTCTTTCATCTGAGGAACATTGCAAAAATTAGAAATATCCTGTCCAGGGGTGATGCTGAGAAACTAGTCCATGCATTTGTTACTTCAAGGCTGGACTATTGTAATTCTTTACTATCAGGAAGTCCACAAACTGTAGTTAAAAGCCTTCAGCTGATCCAAAATGCTGCAGCCAGAGTTCTAATGAAAATAAAAAAGAGAGATCATATCTCTCCTATCCTGGCTTCTCTTCATTGGCTTCCTGTTAAATCAAGAATAGAATTTAAAATCCTTCTTCTCACATATAAAGCCTTAAATGGCCAAGCTCCATCTTATATCAGAGATCTGATTGTTCCTTATGTTCCTAACAGAGCACTTCGCTCTCAATCTGCAGGTTTACTAGTGGTTCCTAGAATTTCTAAAAGTAGAATGGGAGGCAGATCTTTTAGTTATCAGGCTCCTCTCCTGTGGAACCAACTACCAGTTTTAGTCCGTGAGGCAGACACCCTGTCTACTTTTAAGGCTAGGCTTAAAACTTTCATTTTTGATAAAGCTTATAGTTAGGGTGGCTCAGGTTATCCTGAGCTATCTCTATAGTTATGCTGCTATAGGCTTAGACTTTTGGAGGACATAGGGACCCCCATTTCATCATTCTGCTTCATTCTCTCTCTGTTCTCCTATTCTGCAGAATCTGTTAGTTCAATCTCTAACCTTCTGCTCTCTCTGCTTTTCCTCAGAGTAGCTTTGCCTCGTCTGTTCCTGTTTGGCTGTGACGTCATCCTGGAAAAAAAAACATCAGCTGTGCTGCTTCTATCAACACCCTTGTTAATAGATGTTGGAGATCGGCCTGTTTTCCAGTGTGGTCCTGTTTCTCTGACCGTGACTGAGTGGATGTGCTCTCTTCGTCCTCTGGCATGGGAGCTGCCTTGGAGCTCGTCTGCCTGGCTGTGTGTTTCCTGGACGGGGCCGCCTTTTACAGCTGCTTTTTGTATCTCTGCTTCTGTCTCCTTGAACCCCAGTCGGCCTCAGCAGATGGCCGCTCACACTGAGCCTGGTTCTGCTGGAGGTTTCTTCCTGTTAAAAGGGAGTTTTTCCTCTCCACTGTCGCTACAAGCATGCTTAGTGTGGGGGATTGTATTTGAGTCAATGAGTCAATGCAATCAACTGGTTTTCCTTAGATAGAAAACTTTGTATCAATTTGACTGTATGATCTGGTTGAACTGTAAAGTGCCTTGAGATGACATGTGTTGTGAATTTGGCGCTATATAAATAAACTGAATTGAAATGAATTGATGAAATCAGTCAACTAAGCCTGATTATTTGTAACACTCACCGGCGTTACATTGGTGTCAGAAGTGGGATGATGGATCCAGCCAACATCCACGGAGGAGCACAGGAGCTCATAAAATCTGCGCAACACAGATCTGCGTGGATAGCGGAGCAGTGGAGAACCCCGAGTCGCCCAGATGGTTCCAGCGGCCTGCGAATGCCTCATCGTGAAACAGCACAAATGGCTGAAGATGGTGGCGAACAGAGCTCCAAGTCCAATTCACAGCCTACTGCCACGAAGACTGCTGTGAAGCTGCCCAAGTATGACGACACGAACCAGCTGGAGCTGTACCTGAGGCAGGTTCGAATTGCAGCGGCACACAACGGCTGGAGTGATCCGGAAACCGCCACACACCTGGCTCTCGCTCTGGAGGGTGAAGCCCAACAAGTCCTACTGGACCTGGCGCCAGAGGAGGAAAATGATGTGTGCGCACTCATCACGGCGCTGGAGCGGCGATTCGGGCGGCATACAGCTGAGACAGCGGAAAGAGAGAAGTTAGTTAGCCGCAGCCGCCGGGAAGGAGAAAGCCTCGGGGCCTTCGCTGCTGACATCCAGCTACATGCTCGTCGAGGATACCTGAGTTTTCCTGTGGGGGCGCAGGAAGAATTAGCACTCCACGCGTTCCTGCAAGGGCTCAACCCGGAGCAACTCCGCCAGCATGTCCGCCTCGCTGGGACGAGAGTTGCTCTGCGGCATTTGATCAACTCCGAACGGCCCTGACCGAAGCTCCAGTCCTGGCCTATCCGGATCCACACCGACCCTTTATTGTGGACACCGATGTCAGCAACACTGGGGTAGGTGCAGTGCTGGCGCAGCGAGGAGAGGATGGGGAGTGCGCGGTAGCCTACTTCAGCCGTGCCCTCAGCCGTGCTGAGCAGAACTATTGCGTCACATGAAGGGAGTTGCTGGCTGTTGTTTTGGCTGTGCAACACTTCCGCCCATATCTCCAAGGCAGCCGCTTTACCCTGCACACAGACCATGCTTCCCTTACCTGGCTGTTAAGTTTCAAGCAGCCGGAGGGCCAGGTGGCACGGTGGTTGGAGACGTTACAGAGTTATGACTTTGACCTCCAACACCGAGCTGGGCATCACCATGGCAACGCTGATGCGCTCTCCTGACGACCCTGCAAGACGTGCAGCTACTGTGACCGCCAGGAGGAACGAGACCAACTGCCAGCTGTGGCGGCTGCTTCTGCTGTGGAGGGCCTGGAGTCGCAGTCCCCGATGGAGCTACAGCAGCTACAAGAGGCCGACAGGACGCTGGCTCATGTAAAAAGCTGGTTGGTAGCGAGCAGACAACCGGAGTGGCCAGAAGTGTCAGCTCACAGCCCAGAGCTGAAATCGTACTACTCCCAACGGAACAACATTGAGCTTCATGACGGTCTGCTGTACAGGCGGTGGCAGGCTCCAGACCGAGGATCCAACATCCTTCAGCTGCTGATTCCCCAAGTGCTCCGCTCTCAAGTCCTCCAACTGAGTCACGGTTTGGCAGCCTCGGGCCATTACGGGATTACAAAGACCCTTCGCCGGCTCAGGGCGCGGTTCTATTGGCCTGGTTGTCGCACTGATGTGGAGTTATACGTCCACTGCTGTGACAATTGTACCGCCCGGAAGGGTCCAACCCAACGCTCCCGAGCACCGCTGCAGCAGTACCTGGTGGGAGCCCCAATGGAACGGGTGGGAGTGGACATCCTCGGGCCGTTTCCAGTGACTGAGTCCGGTAATCGCTACATCCTCGTGGCCATGGATTATTTCACAAAGTGGCCCGAGGCGTACGCGGTGCCGGACCAAAGCGCAGCAACCACTGAGGAGAAGCTGGTGGAACAGATGTTCACCTGATTTGGAGTTCCTGCAGAGCTCCACAGTGACCAGGGTCGAAACTT